CAGTTGAACCAAATTAAATCTCTGAGAACAGTGGGGAGAATAGCCATGGATTAAAAACCATGAGAGTCAAGGTGTTTTAAGATGAGTAAAGTGATGRTTTGTAGTTGATTTTGTTTAAACATGAAAGAGTTGCATTGTTTTATTTTTTTTCTCCCTTTGCATTTGTTAACATTTTCATCATCATTTGTAGACAATAAAGTCCCAAGAGCTCAGAAAACAGCAGCTGCTTTTGTTTCATTAAAACACCATCTGTCACGTCTCAGCATTCCTCATTTAAGATACTTATTATTTTAAAAGTAAAATCAAATGTGTCTTTTTTTTATACGGCATCATAATAACCGTTTATACGAAGTCTGTATTTCTGAATGTGTCAGAATCGTTTTTACTCCCATCACTCAGGCAGCACCTCCAGAWTAATTAACCTGTCAGTGAAAAAAAAAATCTTTCACAGCAACATCGGGCTGCAGATAAACACAGAATCAATACAAATAATAATTAAATAACAAAATTAAAGGAATATATATAGAAAGAAGCTAAACCTGATAAATGACGGAATGTGGAGGCTGATAAAAATCGGAGGCCATTTAAATTCTCATTAAACCTTCAAAGTCTGTTCAAATTGCCTCTGCTGACTCAATTAGGGAACAACATGTTGCACCAACGCACACGCGCACACACACACACACATGCACACACACACTGCGTCAGCCTGTCTCGTTTGCAGATAACCCTTACGGCCTGTGTGCTTACTTTGGATGACCACAACATCAGTGTCAACAAATACAACCATGAATGGCTCCATGTCTGCTGGAATCTATCCATTCTTTTTTTTTTACACTCTGAGGAATCAACAAGTTCCCGTAATTTGTTTGATGTTTCCTCTGTGTTTTTCAGAATAGTTGTAGTTTGATGAGAAATATCACATAAATGTCAACTCATGGAGAGCGTTTCGTGTCCCGTGATGATTCATCTCATGAGATCTGATCACGGCACGAGTTTACTGAAATAAAACAAATAGAGAGCGATCTGTATCTAAATGAGTGTAATTAAAGAAAAAGTCCAAGTTGAAATGGTTTGTTTAAGGTTTCAGAGGGTTCTTTTTTGTCTGGAGTTGAGACTATCAATGAAAATCTACTGA